GTGCTGATACAAAAATGAAATTAAACATGGGTCATAGGGGAAAGGTTTTGTTTCTTGGAAGATTGAATTGAGTTGCTGGATAAGTAGGCTACTATAGGCATAGGCTACTATAGGCCTATAAATGAGTTTGTATGTCAGACTGCAATATTGTGGTGGCTGTGTTTTGCCAACTTGCCCACTACTTTTAAATAGTCTTTTACAACTTGCCCACCACTTTTAAATAGGCCTAATGAGTTTATGTCAGACTGTGGTGACTTTTCTTGTCCTTATTAGCCAAGACAGCTGCAATCAAGTATACTTACAAATCCATTGCATTTCATGCAAACTAATCAAATCTTCGAGAAAAAAAATGTAAGGATATAAAAAGATTAAATTCAACAGGAGAAAAAAGGTGGTAAATATTAGCAACTCCCACCTGTCATAAACTCGATACATAAAACTTTTAAAAAAATATTTCAACCTAATTTGGTTGAATATAATCTGCAAATACACAATTCATGACAGACTTATTGAAATCACCCAAGGATAAATCTGATCAAAAATCTTGTAAAACACGTAATTTATATTCTACAAAGCAGAAGTCTAAAACAAATTTGACAACTTGATGAAATTGATCACAATCAAAACTAAACCTTTTGAAATATAAAATACAAGTTATTGCCGTTATTCTTACAAATGTGTTTGATTTTTAACTTGTGATGGCACAGTTTGTGATGGATTTGGGTATAAGTTGAATATTTCCTGGTGTCTATGATTGCTATTTTCTAACAAATATTCAATTTCAAACAAAGCTATCAGTGGGCGTATATTACCTTGCCTGGCAAGCTATCTTAAACCAAAATATCACCTAAATAAGAGTCAATTTTAAAAAATTGTCTTACCCTGTCATTCTCTCGGAGAAAGATTATTTCCTAAACTGCTGTTTAAAATCCAAAATAAACGGACCGAAACAACTAACGTCACCAAATAAATGACAAAGGTTCTTTTTATTAACATGATTAAGTTATATAAGTGGTTTAAAACAGTCAGTGGAGTTAACCGGATAATGAACACGGATTCTTAAAAGGATGTGCCAGTACAAGGACATAGTATGAACTTGTTGTCACAACTATTATATGACATAATCCCACCTTATTCCAATAAATCCATAAAACTTAGTAATAATCAATTTATCTTAGTAATTAAACATTCTTAGAAGCGTTATAAAGGATATTTCGCCTTATATAAGGATTTTATTCTTTAGTCATGGCACGTGGTAAATCCAACTGATGAATATATACACTTGTTGACCAAGTTTGACACATTTTATGTTTCTAAGATGTAGTATCCTTTTAAGTATAAAAGGAACAATATCTTTTGCTAATTTGCGACCGGGTTTGTCATTTTAGAAGAGTCAAAATAGCTTACACAAGCTGATGACTCTCCCCGAGGCCATTTTCAACTTATTAGTTCTTGGCTCAAAACATTTACTGATCTCAACTATGATAAACACTGTGGTTGGCGTAATAGGTCATGCTATCTCATGCTGTAGCTCTAGAACACCGGATGACTCTCTGTGACTGGGTTTATGAACTCGGAATTCCTTTTAGGTAGTCCTAAAAGCTTATGTTGTTTGAAAGATTTATTTTACAGAGCCTGTAGACCAGGAGTTATTATCCCGTCAAATTGCATTACAATTGCGTCCTACAAAATCAGTACTCGACCTGTGCGGGGACCTGTGCCTTGGTAAATAACTGAGTGATCCAAGCGTGACCTTTCCAAACTAAAAACAAAACTGTCACATCATCACGTGTAGAATGTCAAGATTGCGAGGTATCTGATATTTGACATGGCGGAAAACAACATACATAATATTGATAGGAATTCACTCTGTTTATTTGCGATTATATAACTGTTCAGCCAACTAAATGGGGTAAATGACTTTCCTTTGAAATAATAAAATTGCGGAAATAGATATGGGAATCTGCGGTCGGAGCCCATGCTGACGACCCGCCACCGAAGAAAACGGAAAAATAAAGACCTTCAAGTTTCAGATTACTATGCTCTCTAAAATTGACATTTCGAACATCCAGCACTTTCTTGCCGTTATGCCATACGATAGCGTATCCATCTTTATGACCAGGGGAATTAAGATGAATATGTTGAGAAATTGTATCCCATTGTCCCGTTCTAAATCTCCAGGAACCTCTTCCAATAGAAATACCATAAGCATCGTTGCAATCGTTACCCTTCTTGTCACAAAAGCCATTTGCCTGATCCGCTGGCATATAAGCATACATTTCCCCGTCACCATGTGGCCTCCACATAAACCTTGTGGACAAACAATCATGAGAATGACGTCCGCCGGAACAACCAGGATCACCTCCGTACAGTCCAGGAAGCTTTCCGCCTTTTACAAAGTCCAACCCTTTCTGGAAATATACGTCGTAGGTGAGAGTCATAGAGTCTCTTGGGGATCCTACTTTGGTATAGAATTGAGCTCCTCTGTGATCGTGGATGCCATTGTAGTGACCTTTCTTAATGTAAATTCTGATAACATCACCATGCCCACCAGCCGGATCTTTTACTACGGACAAGGAACCTTCATTATATTGCAAGTTAGGTATGGCATGAAACCCATCATGTATATTCTGAGAATTAAACGTATTTTTATGCCACAAGATGTCTGAAATAGAAAATGTTCGCATAGAATTAAAAAGAATTGCAACAATCTATCGCTATTCACTAATTTTCAACTCTGTACAGCTTATTGCAGCCACTGACAGTAGTAAATGCAAAACCAAATCTAGAATTTAAAATAATGATTCAGTAACGATACAGATAAAGATAAATTCGAATCCAATTACCGGATGCTCGACGAACTGGACCATAACGTCGAGATGTACCATTAACCATTGGTGCTTCAACACCACTCACATCAAGTGGTACGTATAACAACATAATTATAAGTAATCTGAAAATTGAAATGACATATATTCATCTAAAATTAAATGGAGTGTTACGCCCTACTTTTGAGCTAATGATGACATGTAATGCAATGCAGTGTGGAATGGGGACAATTTTAATAATTGTAATAATAATAATAATAATAATCCCGCACAGAACACAGTACCTTGACCATTCGTTAGTATAAGGAAACAAATTCGAATTGATTCGTTGTTGCAACGGAGGTAAAAGCCGCTATTAAAAATTATCGTCTATGAATAACCCTTTCTTTTGGCATTTGGTTATCTTATGAGGTAACTCTACTCCAAGTATAGTTGTCGCCTACATAATTCACTCCGAACCAGATTCAGCATGGATAACAAATCATTTTCATATTCCCTTTAAAAAAAAATCCCCAAATAGGAGACGTGAGACTCCGACTAACCGGATTGTACCGAAATTCCATGAAAAAACAAATTCTTACCCGACCATTGTTACAAATTTTGTTTATGTTCTTGAATATTGTAGTACGGATTACATTCAAGCTTATCTACAATCTAACTACCAACTGACAAAAATACATTAATCATACATTAAAACATTTTAAAAATTTAAAAGGAATGGCATTTGTAACCAACGTTGTAAATTGAAATAATGGGGGCGTAATGTAGAATTCCGCTTAATTGGTTTATGTTATGTTGCCTGCAGTAGAACGCATAAAGGTGTATACTAAGTGAACGTTGATCACAATATTAAATTACACTTTATTTGTTCGAAAAGTGTCAGTCTCATGAACTGTTACAAGGTGTTCAGTATATAGACGTTGCATTGGTTAATAATACATCATACTTAATAAACTGTATTTAGAAATAATGTTCCATAATCAGCCTTTGGGTGTTCAGTATTTAGAAATTATATTGTATGGTCTGAATGATACTCTGTGAATTGGCTTTGGGGATTAGTGACTATAAAACACTGTTACCATGGACTGCATAAGGGGCGTATATTTGCACAAGCTGACCAATTGCCAACTTTACTGCAAGCGATGTTTATCATAAGATTATCAAGAGTTGTCTTGTACTGGGCAGTACATTTTTGGACTATGAGAAAGTAATGTGTGTATATTTGAACTAGTCAACAGTTAAAAATCAATAACCGTTGAGGTCAACGATGATCATTAACATTATGTCATATAATGAATGTCAAAGGGTTCGTGTGACCCCTCCAATTGGAGTCTCACACTCCCCGGAAGTATCTTTTTTCCGCTTCATTTTCATTTGTTTTATAAATTATAATAAAGGTCCGCTTATCTTGTTACGAAAGGCTAAAGAACTCGAGTTTTCATTTTGTAATTTCTATAACTATATTCCTATCATAAATCCACAATCTGATGTCCACTTGAAATAAATTTGGTATGAGAATTTGATGCACAGATCATGCTCCAAAATGTACCTTTCATAATTTCCTTCGTGAACTTCTGTGTTTTTGCTTTGAATGTTTTGTATATCTTAGGTATACAGTTGGTCAAAAGCTAATCTGTTTCTAGTTCTAGTGTTCTATGTTGTACTATGTGGTTCACTGCTTCACAGCAAAAAAAACTGGTTGAATGGTGCAAGAAAAATGACATATCGATGTTAAAAATAGTAGACAGTAAAAAATGTATTTGGATGTAAAAGATAAGTCAAAATAAAAAATCGTACATTTTATTGCTGATCTCCCATGTGACATGGGAATCAGGAAACCCGTCCAAAAACAGATTCAGTTTAATTTCAACCATAACGGTTGCTTGCTTATAAGATAACTTAAACCAAACTTTAGCTTAATTCATCGTCATGTGCTTTTGGCCAAAATGCTAATTTATATGTTTTCATGACAGAATACAGTGCATTTATGTATTTTTACATTAAATTAAACATAATAACTAGATTGGTGCCTGGTATTTACTGAATCAATCATATTGAACAAATTTTACCAAGAATAGTACCAAAGAAAATAGACGACATTTTCAGAATCGCAGTTACTGGTAACTTGTGTACAAATACTGGTAGAACAAACATTTGGAGAGGCAAACTCGCCAGTTTATTGAGCAAAGTCAAAACATCAGATAGATAGATGTCAATGGGTGTTTACTGGTATCTAACATCGTTTAACTAATCGATGTCAATATTGAAATAAAACAATAACACCGTTTTCATTGTAGTTAGTCCTTCTGTCTAACAGTAATACCGTTTTCATTATAGTTAGTCCTTCTGTCTAACAATAATACCGTTTTCATTGTAGTTAGTCCTTCTGTCTAACAATAATACCGTTTTCACTGTAGTTAGTCCTTCTGTCTAACGATAATACCGTTTTCACTGTAGTTAGCCCTTCTGTCTAACAATAATACCGTTTTCATTGCAGTTAGCCCTTCTGTCTAACAATGATACCGTTTTCATTGCAGTTAGTCCTTCTGTCTAACAATTACACGAATCGTACGAGAATTCACAAAATTTACTCGATATTTCAAGGTCACTCTAGTTCAGTTTTCTCCTTTGTAAAAAGTATATCAACATTGAACTCTAGATTTATTGGTGTCTTGATTTTGGCAGGAAATTTTGGGAGATCGGCCAAATAAAATAGGATATCATTAATTGTACGATGTGAAACCGAAGATAAGAAACGCAGCTTAAACTGATTTTTCCTATACAGATTATGTATTGTTTAGAAAGTTTTAATCAAGTCCGCTACCCGACGAATTGAATCCTCGAACAAATAAATACGTTTAAGGACATTCCAAAACATAGACCGGAGGCAGTGGGATCTAATGGAGATTTATCTTATTTCTTTACGTGAACTATTGGTGGTATTAAAGTACATTGTATGGGTTGATAACATTAAAGAATGTACATGAAGACGAGTCCGTCCTTTGGTGTCGATTGAGACTTTTAAGCAGGAAGGGTTTTTGAAAATTATAATCTTGAAAATTCTTAAATCCACAGGCTAAATATGTTGGATGCCAAATATGTAGAAAACTGGTAATATCAACTTCCTGAAAATGCGAGTTATGAATATTTTAGAATTATTCAGAATTTGAACAAACAATATTGAGAAGGATTAATATTTACATGCACGGGATGTCATTTACAAACCTTTCTTTGAAATCATAAATTCAAAGATTTAATTTTAAAATGTTGATTCCTTCCGTTTCGACCTGATTCCTCTTGGGTCATAACACAAATATTTTTTGATTCTAGATTTTATTGACGTAAAAGAGTTTTGTATTTGGACAGTGGCGGAGCCAGATTGACGTCCGAGGGAGGGCGAAATATCTGAGATTGCCCGAATTTCTAATCTAGTTTTGAGAGTTATGCCCGAAATACTTTAATTCGGGACTGCGAGGGTGGCGGTTGCCCCCTCTGCCCATTCCCTCTTTGGTTCCGCCACTGTAAATGGATACTCTTTTGGTCTAGTTTGGCATTATCCCAACCAATGATACCAAAAGTGTATTCCGATACACGAAGACCAACAAAAACTATTTTGAATCCCCTGTTGGAATGACTAATAAATTGTGCCACGTCGATTTATATTTGGAAGCTGACATTACTGACTGAAAATGTCAATACTCTCAATTTTTGTGGTTATTTTCTTTATATGATATTTCTTCTTAATGAAGAATTCGATATTCAAGAAGAGTCGAATTCGAGGTGTTAAAACAATGTGGACATTGATTGACTTCAAGCGAAAAAAAATCACGTTTGTTTCCATCTGGTATGTTAGTTTACTCGCCAAGAGATATCTCGAAAATGCATATTTTCCCCCACAAAAAACACTGTTACTTTCATCTATTCACACATATTTTTTTTATAACTGTGTTGACTTACCACAAAAATCAAAAGTTCGTGAATCATCTTCCTTTGGGTTTCGAAAAAATCGTAATTTGTTAACAACCCAAAACTTCAAACTGATGCAAAAAGTTTTATGTCGTTGACAAGAGGTAGACTTTTTTTAGGATCGAAATTAGATTCTCTCTGCACCACGTATTTTCCTGAACATTATCCTAGTGTAAAAAAAAAATTGCATTTTATGTCCTATTTGAAGTTTGACGATGTCTCTAGTCAAATCAGTTTTACATAGACTCTTAGTTACAAAGTATTCAATTGCTCTTTAACTCTTTGTGGTGGATAGAGTATATCAGAAGGTGATGTATAACCAAGTAACGGATTTAAGGTTAACCTGTAGTTAGTGTAAAAAGTTCGGGGGTACTGAGAGATGGTGTATCAATGTCAGGGGTACCAGAAGATAGTGTATAAAGGTTAGGGATATCTGGATATTGTGTATAAATGGTAGGGGTACAAGGTGATAGTGTATAAAGGTTAGGTAAAAAAGTTAGGATGTACCCGGAGATAATATATGTAGGTTAGAGCGATCCAGGGATAGTGTATAAAGGTTAGGCAGAACCAGAAGATAGTGTAAAAAGGTTAGACGGTACAAGGTGATAGTGTATAAATGTCAGGCAGTTCCACGATATTGTATATATTGGTAGTTATACAAGGTTAAAGTGTAAAGATTAGGCTGTTCCAGGATATTGTATATAAATGGTGGTGGTACAAGGTGATAGTGTATAAAGGTTAGGCAGTTCCAGGATATTGTATATAAATGGTAGTTGTACAAGGTGAAAGTGTATAAAGGTTAGGTAGTACCAGTATATTGTATATAAATGGTAGTTGTACAAGGTGATAGTGTATAAAGGTTAGGTAGTACCAGTATATTGTATATACAAGGTGATAGTGTATAAAGGTTAGGCAATACCAGGATATTGTATATAAATGGTAGTTGTACAAGGTGATAGTGTATAAAGGTTATGTAGTACCAGTATATTGTATATACAAGGTGATAGTGTATAAAGGTTAGGCAATACCAGGATATTGTATATAAATGGTAGTTGTACAAGGTGATAGTGTATAAAGGTTATGTAGTACCAGTATATTGTATATACAAGGTGATAGTGTATAAAGGTTAGGCAATACCAGGATATTGTATATAAATGGTGGTAGTACAATGTGTATAAATATTAGGTAGTACCAGGAGATAGTGTATATAAATAGTGGTTGTACAAGGTGATAGTGTATAAATGTTAGGTAGTACCAGGATATAGTGTATATAAATGGTAGTTGTACAAGGTGATAGTGTATAAAGGTTAGACAGTTCCAGGATATTGTATATAAACGGGAGTTGTACAAGGTGATAGTGTATAAATGTTAGGTAGTACCTAAAGATTTTGTATAAAGGTTAAGATTATAAAAGTTTTTAAAATGGATAAGCAGAGTTTCTGCTATTGGTTGGGATAATGAAGAAGGACGAAACCATGTAATGTACACAATGAGGGACAATAGTGGAAAGGGATAGTGGAATCAGCCTATTATTATAGGAGTAGCTCGCTAGTTTCGAACAATTTTCAACCTTATAATGCCAAAATTTGACTAAAATTCTTAAAAAGGGATTCAAAATAGTTCGGTGCTCCTCCACCAACATGCATTTCTAACAGGGTGGGAAAGCAAAATGATTTTGAATTTTCGTCTTAAAACGTTCGTTGGAACGAATATCACCAAATTTTTCACAAATTAAGACAAAACGGTTTATGATATATAAAGAGTGATTTATTCAAATAATGTCAACTTTAAACTGATATTTCCTCAGGTCACTTCCCGAAGAAGGGGTCATAAGTTCCTAAAAATAGAACACATCAAGATATTAAATATATAGACGTTTTCATGCAGACTCAAACAGTGTCAAATTTTAACCATACATATTTTCACGAAAAAAACGAAAATTCCAGCTGGGAATTATTGACAATAACGAAATGTTCAAGGCACGTTGTAATTTATTATTTACAAGACGGGCCAATACACAAGGAACACTTTTTGTTTGTTTACATCTAGGGTGTAAACAATTGCCAATCAATAAACCTTTGCCTCTAGTCACCCAAGCTAAAGAAACAGTGGGGAATTGTTTCACAACGTTAAAGTTATTGTAGCTATTGTTACGGAGGCTTCAGTAGTCAGATACTTGTCCCTAGCGAACATCAAGTTTTGGATGCTTTAATATTTGTGATATTTTTGATTTTGTGATCAACTCAATAATTGTGATATTTATACTTATAGATTGTGATTAATTATTCCCTTAGTTTCCTCTTAGTTGGATTTCAACCGTTCAGGTTTCTCCTTCATCGGTTTGTTTGGTTATTTTTATCACTGATCATTAGTTAGACGTTAACCCATTTTTGTGATAATTTCAAGAAGCAGCATGGAAACCCCCATCTTAAGAAGGGGGGCATCTGATAGAAGTTCACTTGAGATATCAGATAAGTATACAGCTTCTATTGAGCTTTCCAACGCCTGTAGACATTTTTACAATTCACGAGTTGAAGCCGCTGCCAGCATGAAAGTCAAAATCCAAGAAAGGGTCACAGAAAAGAAAGAAAATACTTCTACTAAACGACGATGGGGAATAAATGAAGCCATGGATAAACTACGAGAAGAAATGGTAAGTTCCAACACAATAAACGTCAGATCGACCGGATATTATTCAATGTATTGTAAAGAGTTTTCTTCATTAAGTTTTATATGGAAACGTAACCTTTACAACTAACTATTCTACCCAACCTAACTTAGGATCGTGCAATAAGAGATTGAACTGGGCCTTATTGTTTATCTTGAACATTTCAATATCAAAGAATCGGATCTAAAACATTGGCACAAATGTCCATTGTCAGCAAAGGTAATACATTTAAGGTATTGGGAGCGAAGGGGTTTAGAAAATTATCCCTTCCGTGAATAATATATCATTTTGGGGATAAATATTTTATTCGATTGCTCGTTAGCATATCAGTTGGTGTTTAAGCCTCGTAAAATATTAAACTGTGGTCCACACGAGACGTAAATTGTCTCCGAAAAGGAGTTTTAATGTCACTAAGTCTCAACGGACGTTATTTTGGTACAAATATACATTTTTTAAAACAAGAACAATGCTCTGATTCCTATTTTGGAATGAGTAATTATATGCATAAAATTCGACTGAAAGCACTATTGATTTTGTAGAAAGCATGTTGTATAAAATTATTTAATTTCTGTAAATTCAATTTGAAAAACCGAAAGACTTGCCTACAGCATAGGATGATCTCTTATCAAAAAGCTTTTTATAACGTTCTTAGGTTTCTTTGATGGACCAAGACCTTACCCTGATGAAACAACTACTGAACCTTAATGAAACCATCGAAGATTTAAAATGGCAACGAAGCAATTACTACAGTGGTAGCTCCAGCGAAGAAAGTGATTTTTCTGTATCGGAAACGGAGATGTACGCAGATTCATCGGATAACGACGTACCACATACGAAGGTGTCGAAATCCATATCCAACTTACAAAACAAGCGACCTGAACAAAATACCAACGTCATGGAAGTCAGCAGTTACGTTCAGAAGGCCTCAGTTATCAGGAGCCACAAATCTATTGCAGCGGAATCGACGATAACTACCAAGGCTTCTCGTTCATTAACAAACTTACACAAAGAACACAGTGAATATAGATCTTTTGACTCTGGCATTAATGATACTGATCATGTTGAAATACGAGTTTAGGTCTAAATGTCCTGAATGAATTTTGTTACGTGCTTTATTTATGTGTATAACTATTTTTTTGTCATTGATCTCTTAGGAATGCGTTAACATTTAATTTTGATTGCCACACCCACAATAATATTTGGAGATAAACAGTTTCATTTCAGAAAAATCAATTTAAAAAAAGTAAGTATAAGAAATATAACATATTATCTGTCGCAAATTTGAGATTGGTTTTGATCGCCCCCTGTCATAAAGATAGCACTGATGTCGTTTACTAATTTTAATTAGATTACAATTTTGTTTCTTTTTGTGTTTTCTGATACTTTTCGTAATCTAACAAGTTTTCTACCATAGAAATGTTCTAATGACGTTAGTTTTAACCAATCATACAAAACCCGTTTTTTGATAACGTAACGAATTATGGGATAGCGATAGCTCAAATAGAGTTAGTTTCGCTATACCGAGTACATACCAAATATTTTGGCGCAAATTCATATTATGTAAATGCTGCAGTGGTAGTTACATTCGGATTTCTTATATTTGTGACAGAAAATATAAGTACTTTATTTCAGAAAAAAAATCCTTATTTCTTCATATGTATTTTTTTATCCTTTGAGTTTTATTGTTTTGTATATATTGTTTATACAATTTGTTATATATCATTTTTATTTATAGTTTAGATTTTGTATAATTTTATACTGTATAGGGCGAAAACTTGGCCACTTGGTAAAATATACTTTTGTATTGTTCAGTCTTCATCCTGTGATCCTTCGACCACAAAAACAGCAGCTTACAGTTTAATCTATAGTAATTATTTCTTGATTTGTCGACGACACTAAAGATAAATCGGACTCAAAAAAAGTCTTTGACTTAAATGGCAGTTGTAATTGCAATTGAGATGGGGAAAAAATATCAATTTCTCCAATAGACATAAACAGTCTAAAAAAACTCTGTTAAACCCGAACGTATCTCCAAATCGCAAACATGAGATGACTAATGACTTATTCGCTGTACATGACATGGCGTGGTCGCAATGGAATTTTTGCCTCTTTGTTATTTAAAGAATCCATAAATTTGGCAAGACACAAATTATATGTATAATATATGTATAAAGGGTGGTTGGTGATTTAATTCTACAACTTAGTGAGAGTTTTTGACGCTGAAGCTGCTTTGTGATTCAAGTTATTCTTTATTTTAGTTAAGTTTCTTTGAATGTTTTAAATTCATTGTTAGGATTTGTCGGTGTTCCATGTTAACGAAATTTTCAGGGGCTCAACATGTGAATTTGGAACGAAAGGCAACATGCAAACGAGGAACATTTTAATGCAGATGGCAGCGTTAATGTTACAAGAAAGGCTTGATTTCTCCCAAAATGTACTAAAACTAACGTGGAACACTGAGTAAACCATTTGATTTAAGAACAATAATACTGCATTCGCCTTAATCCGATAATTGGTGATACTGCAATGTTTCACGTAGTTATCTTTACGTTTTTGGTGGTTGGAATTGAATCAATTAAGGCGTTCGATAAAAAGATATTATAGATCAAAGACGAAGAGACCATGATATATGACTTGTGTTTTATGGGCTTCTTTTGGTATGCAGCTTTCATTTCTAAATATCTTTTAAACAATATTTTGTAAATAATTTCAGTTACAAATTAGATTTCAATTGGCACTTTATTGTTACTTGTATATTTCTATCTAAGTTAAAGTTAAAAGTGTCAAAATGCATGTTATTTGTTGCAAAAGAAATTATGATACCGTCTATTCTAATTTTATTAAGTCACACATAAGGCAATAGAATATAGTTACATTTTACTTTGTTCTAAGCTACGTCATTTGAACGTCAATTTTAGAGCGTTCTATGGAATTATTTTGTTTATCTTGTTTTAATCATTCAGAATTTATTCCAAAGCTAAAACGTTTGTGTAGCTTTAATGCAATTCAGAATTCTTTCCCATGTAAATTTTACTTAATAAAGTCGCATTTTTTCGATACGCAATGTTTTATATGACGTATTGTTAGGATATCACACGTTTTGTTATTGTTTGTTATATTCATTTTGAAATTAGAGTACTTTAGCTTCATTGTTATGTTGTTTTAAGAGTTATGTTAATTTAGAGAATTATTGTTATGTACATAATTAGACAATGTTATGTTAATTGATAGCAATGCATTGCCATGTTGATAATGTGACTGTTTTAGGCATGATAAGCATGTTGTTTCTTTTTTTTCTTTTACAATCATGAGTTTTCCAGGAATGATCGCAATGCCTTCACCCTCTGATCCAGCACGTGACCAGGATTGACACAGATCTCTGAGGTAATATCCTTCGTGTGACGCTCGTAGTTACTCTATTAGAAAGCTTCTTTTGTTTGCTTGAATTGACTAGACTTAGAAGGAATGCGCTCTAAGAATGAAAGTTATATTATGCATTTCTAACGATTGCATTCATCCTGGCTTATTCCATATTTTCCCGCCACCCTTTAATTTGCTGGAAATCCGATACATCCACTCAGGTATACTATTGAACTTTCAGGCTGCTAGCAAATCCATGGAAGGGATATGAGCTACTTGACATCTTATGGAAGACCCTCCAAAATGAGTAAAATACAAGCTCGATCTTGATGGTGTAATAATTCATAGCACCTTCAAGCGAATGGAGTCATGAGTACCAGATTTCAAATAGTTCAAATTCGATCCTACGTATCATGTGGAAATGCCAACCACGATTCTATATGTGTTTCTGTGTTCTTGTGAAAGAGTCACAAAACTATTTCTGCATCGAGCAAGCATCGACTAGACAAATCAAGGCATTTAAATAGCTTTTGTTGAAGTCAAATAATGTAAACTATACGTGACCAGTACCATAATATAGAATTTTGCTTGGCATTACCTACCACGAAAGTCCTTTGCATGCATCTGGACAAATTATTTTATTAACGTGCACGGCATGAGAGTTTCGTTTTTAGAAGTCCATTTTGCATGACACGTGTTTCAATTCTGTTTTTCCCCTGAATTATTTCTTCTACAATGATATCGCTCAATTTTTGAATTGCGCACTGCAGCGTACATGAGAGTACTCTTAGAAATGCGACCTTTGCATAGAGATTTATAAGCCCCGTTCATTTCATGTTACTTACCTCGCTTATGTCGATTCAGTGTCATTCCATTGATGAGATGTGAATCTTGTAGTTTAAACGAAGCTAAAAAAATGGATTTGAACTTCCTGGTATCTTTGACAAAAATTTCACGCTGCACCCTCAACTCGTTAAAGGGAATGACGCATGAATATGGACATTATGTCAAAAAACATCTTCAATAGGACGTCGAATGAACGAATGTACTATTCAATTCCCTATTTTCAACCTATTTATTAATTAACGTTATTTTAAAGGTAAAATAGGTCATCCCCTTCAAGGTAGGCCAAGTAAGTGGTTGACATGGGACATTATATCAGGTCTTGCTTGCTGGTCTCAATGGGGTCTCTAGCTTCCAAAGAATTCTCATAACGCCTTGAATACAAGAGTGATAACACTTTTTGATTGTACGAAATTTCAGTATAATCAAATATCAGTATCGGGAATACTTGGATCATTGTGGTCTGTCAAGAAGTATTATCCCTCTGTAGACGGTATTATGAAGATGTTAACACGGGGTTGAATACGAACTGTGGGTAAAGCTTTTCATATGAACACAATCCCTAACTATAGCGGGTAACATGGTACGAGTGAACATTAATCTATTATTAGTACCAATGTAGTAGAGGAAGTACGCATAATGGGTCGTGAATGATCGGAAGAGGAGCAAGAAGTGGGCACAACTGAGGTAACCCTTTTAACCAACATACAGATCAAAAACTGGATTTTTGTACCAAAAGATCAACTTATTGGAGTGAATAACAGGCTTTGCTTCTCTGTACAAGAATTTGAGCCTGATGCTCGTTACAAAAACAGACTGATTCGATGTAATGTGTGTAGGCCTACTGTAAAGCTAGCAGTGAATAATTGGTTTAGGCAATTTTCAAAATCGAAGATCTGAAATTTCCAGTTTTTCTTTTTTTTAATTTTTATATACTAAATTATTGGTGAATTGAGGGGGAATGGGGAAACAAATAAACAACACTCACAAATGAAACTGAACAGCGATATATTGGTAAGGGAAAAGCATGCAATAATACATAACGAATATATAACCTCTTTCATAATATCAAACATACAACATATAATATATATATTTTTTTCATAATCAAATTGCAATATATATTTTATGGGTTATTTGTTAATATTGTCTAAACGTTGTGTCAATCGTATACATGTCATCTATTACGAAACGTTTCTCGTTAAAACAAGAATGAAGAAGGTACGTAACCACCTCAAAATAAGCATGGAAGAAAAATAGCAACCGTCGTTCATCAAAAGGTAAAAGAATTTGCAAAACAACGGTGCAATAGGGTGCTTTGTTTAGAATAGGAACTTGGTATACTTGAATATCATAAAGACGGTGGCTTCTGCAAGGTCGGTATAGAGTGGCTCAGTTGTCGATTTAAGACGGTACTTGCAAGGGAAGACATGTGAAAATTACAGTACAGTAAGGTTTGAGCGTGAAGTCTTGTGTAGTCTTGTGGTTTGTTTTGTCTTTGTTTAGAGTATTTTGTAGTGAAGTTGATTTGAAGGTAAGAACGTTGTCCACAAATTGTTGTTCTTCATATTGTTGTTCTTCAAATTATTGTTCATTAACTAGTGTTATTACGATTGGTTCCTTTTTTGTGTCTCAAATTGTATCGTTTAGTGTGTTTTTTGTGTACTAATTTTAATTTTCTCCTTTTAGTGTATGGGTGGTATATGGTACGTATTGACACAAATTTCTTTTTTACTTTATGTAATAATGAGATAGAAAGAAAAACCCTTCATGTGACATTGTGACATTGTTTCGTTAGCAAGACATGTCATTGGCCAAGATGGGCTATTTCCAGAAAATCTTTTAACATAACCTGGGAAATAAAACATAGCTTTATGATCCAAAATGCCATAGATATCTTTTATGACTTACCATAAACGATTTGGCTAGTCTGTCTATTGTGGTTTCTTTCGGAAGGAGTGGAATTATTTCATTTTTTTCTTCCATTTTCAGCTAAATTACGTTTCGGTTAAGGAACAAGGTTAGATGTCCTTTGTATCAGAATCAAAGAAAGTTGGTACGGTAGATTTTGTTTTCGGGTGAAGACCGCTTATAATGTATTATGTGTGTGGGGCTAGGTGTCTTTACGATTACTCATTAAGATATTATAACTGGAAAGTTCAAGGCTTCTAATTACTGCCTGAAAGTTTTGTTTGCTTAAAAGCGATCAAAGGGGAGTAATCACTAAAAAATAGCGGAATTAACAACATTGTCTTCATTTTTATTTTATTTTTTTTTTTTGAGTACGACAAATTTGGGTAATAATTGTAAAATAAAGCTGCAAGAATTAATTACTTGTTAAATGCTTTTATTTATTTGGGTCATCTATTTATTTAATTTCATTCATCTATTTATTTTTTTATGCTTAAAACTTAATCAAATATTACATGTATATCTATTTGTTTAATAATGCATTTTAGTTGCTTCAATATATTTCAAAAGTGGCAAGAGGTACTGATACTATAGTGCGTGATAGCGTATTTGCTCAAGCGGTGGGCTTTTAAACATGGTTTTGTTCAGTTTTACGAAGTAAACAAGCGGGTAGAAATTATGTAAGTTCCTCAGTTTTCTTGATCGTTTCAGTATATCTTATGTCGACTTGACATCCATGTTTTCTCACTTCGAAAAAATCTTGTTTGTTATTTATATGGTTTTACTTGTATTGTTTGGGTTATTCACGTCAAGATTTTTTTTCGCCACTTGGAGGGTTCGGAGATGGTTGTTAACTTTTGATTTTGACCCAAATTTTCCTTTTGTTTACTTTCATACTTTTTTTTAGATTTCGGTCATAAACACTACATATGGTATGCTTTTATGTTCTATTTCTTTTTATATGTTCTAATGTTCTTATTCTTTTTATAGAGTCCTTCATACTGGTTCAAATGTTCTATTTCTTTCTATAGAGTTGTCATACAGGTTCTGGTGTTTTATTTTTTTTCTATAGAATTGCCATACAGGTTGTGATGGTCTATTTCTCTGTATAGGGTTGTCATACAGGTTCAAATGTTCTATTTCTTTCTATAGGGTTGTCATACAAGTTCTGATGTTTTCTCTCTTTCTATAGGGTTGTCATACAGATTGTGATGGTCTATTTCTTTCTATAGGGTTGTCATACAGGTTTAAATGTTCTATTTCTTTCTAAAGGGTTGTCATACAGGTTTAAATGTTCTATTTCTTTCTATAGGGTGGCCATACATGTTCTGGTGTTTTATTTCTTTCTATTGGGTTGTCATACAAGTTGTGATGGTCTATTTCTTTCTATAGGGTTGTCATACAAGTTGTGATGGTCTATTTCTTTCTATAGGGTTGTCAAACAGGTACTGATGTTCTATTTCTTTCTATAGGGTTTTCATACAGGTTCAAATGTTCCATTTCTTTTTTTATAGAGTTCGTCATACAGGTTCAAATGTTCTATTTCTTTTTCGTTCGTCATATATATTTTATTTCTTTTTATAGAGTTCGATTATGTTCTTTAGATACATTTCCTAATGAATTCCACGATATACATGTATGTTCTAATGTTCCACCTTTTTCTGTAAAGATTCATGAAACATACTCGTCATGTTCTATTTCTTTTTATATGTACTAATGTTCTATTTCTTTCTATACACTTCGTCATACATGTTCTAATGTTCTATTTCTTTATATAAAGATTCATTATACATACTCTTTATACATGTTTTCATGGTTAATTTCCTTCTATAAAGTTCCATCATACATGTTTATTTCTTTCTACAGGGTTCGTGATATATGTTTTATTTATTTCTGTAGAGTTCGATACATACATGTTTTCATGTTCTTCTTATTTGAATAGTATCTGTTACTATGTCTGAATGGTCTCTTTTCGTCATACGTGTTCTAACGTTCAATTTCTTTCTATAGTGTTCTTCATATATTCTCTAATGCTTCTCTAACTGTCTAACTTCTAATATTCCATTTCTTTCCATAAAGCACTGCAAACAATGTTCTAGTGATCCATTTCTTTCTTCGATTATTTGCTCTTTAGATCCTTTTCCTTCTATAGGGTTCTTATTTATCAACTCTATAGAAATAAATGGAGCATTAGAGCATGTGTGGCGGAACCCTATCGAAGGAAAAAAATCTAAAGGGCATCATACAATATGTTCTATTTCTTTCTATAGAGTTCATCATCCATGTCCTATATCTTTGTATAGGGTTCGTCATCCATGTTTTTCTTTTTTTATAGAGTTCGTCATCCATGTTCTATTTTTTGATATAGTTCGTCCTCTATATTCGTCATGCATATTCTATATCTTTCTATAGGGTTCGTGACACCTTTTTCCAATTTTATCAATAAAGTCATCTTTATCGTGTTCTTTATTTATAGAGTTCGCCAACCATGTTTTATTTTTTTTTTATAGAGTTCGCCTACCATGTTCTATTTTTTTCTTCAGCATTCGTCATTCATGTTCTATTTCTTACTATAGAGTTCGCAACAACCTTTTTTCCTTATTTCATCAATGAAGTTCTATTATACATGTTCCATTCCCTTCTATTTATTTCTATATTTTATACTTTCGTCATTTATGGTTTATTTTTTCTATAGTTTTTTAAACATGTTCTAATGTCTTATTTCCTTCGATAGGATTCTGTCATAATATCTATTTTTTTCCTTGTTTTTTTATGCATGCTATAAATGTATACACATTTTTGATTAATATGCTTTTCACCGAAAATTTGGGTTTTCAAAGTTATGACATATATGATATTTTACGCCTAATTTTTGACCCGTTTTTCGTAACATGGGTTATATAAACGTTGTCTCGCCTATACAGGTATATAAATAACATAACAGTATGACATAAAACTCGACCTTCGACTTTTAGAATTGCTAATTTGATAAAAATAATTTTTTTTTTTGTTTTGTGGTCGTCTATAGTTTTTATTTAGGGCCCTGTCGCAAATTTTGTCGAATACGCTGTTAGACGTCGATCAAATGGTTATTATTGTAAGTTTTGTATAAGTTATAAAGCGCTGAAGCACGTTGATACGCCGTAGTACAGGGAAAACGTACAAACATTTGCAGTTAAACAAAATTCTCGACGCATGCTTTCTAGCATAGATGAACTATTCTCTCAAAACTTCCAATGTAAGTGGACGTACGTGGCCTTTTTTAGTTTTTATGGACGAACTTTCATGTTCCAACGTTCTATTTATTTCTATACGATTTGTTCATACATATTATTTTTCTTTTCACTTAAAAGTTACCGTATAATGGTGCATGGGTATCCGATATTTAAGTTATCATTTTCCCTAATAGCTGTTTATAATTTTGATACACCGTCATACCCTGGCTAAATCGTCATGGTGTGACAGGACCTTTATGTCAATTAAAATTGCACTTACAAGTGCAATTGATAAACGCGGTATATGCATTTTTTAACTCATGGTTCATGTCATGAAAAAAATTAAGTTTTGGCATGGCCGATTTACCTTTCGAAAGTTTTATAGCAATCCTTACTTACAGTTTGTATCCCCTTCAGGGAAAGTCATGAAAAATGTAGGTTTAGCATAGGTGGTTAATCTTTCGAAATTTGTATCGCATGTCATATGGTCTCTACTCATGACAAGATGTATCCATTCCAGAGGAAAACAGAACCGTGATTTGTATCCAAGACAAAGGAGAGTCATTTCGTTTTCCCATAGGAAATTAACCTTTCGAAAGTTTTACAGCATGCCTTATTTTAAAGTTTGTATGCATTTCAGGAGAAATCATGATAAAAATTTGTTTTAGCATAAGTGGTTAATCTTTCGAAAGTTTTATGGCAATCATTATCTCAAAGTTTGTATCCATTCCAAGAGAAGTCATGAAAAATTATGCTTTTTCATAGGAGATTAACCTTTGGAAGGTTTTGTATCATATGGTTTAAATAGATATCCACTAGGGAAGTCATAAAGAGAAATTTTTTATTTTTTCTGAATAGATTCCTCTGTTTAATGATTGACTTAATGATTTGAGGAATCTAGATTATTTAATTTCAATGAGAGATTTTGACTTCCACATATGTTTATCCTAAAAAGTTGATTTAGTGGATTTGATAGTTGTTGTTTTTCTATCTGTGGCATTGAAATTTGGTGCTCATACTGGCTTATTAGCCAGTCTTATCCAAGTCTGGTACCAAGATCCGGAAAATGTGAACCATATCGACACTAGATCTTCAAATATGAAAACTTATGATGACAATGGTGGATTATACGATTGGTTAAACATATACACCTGATGGAACAACACCAAAATGACAGTTATTTTAGGTAAGAGATGATCACAATGTATATTGGTAGGGGAAATAATCGGAGCATTGGTGTTGGTGAGTTCTGATTAGTAGGTCGAGACGCTACATTATATCTATCAGTTCTTCTTCTAACCCTTACTAATGTCTTCACGACTTCTTATGATCTTTTATTTTTTTCTATTAAATATTTTGAACAACACAGAACTATTTTTTTTTTTTATAAAATTATCAAAGATTTGGAGAATTCGTCTTCACAAAATTGTACATTATCATATTATTAGCTCAACGATAGTTAAATATCACGTCATTTACGTTTAATGTGATTGGTTCCATGATTGTCATATCAAATGCAAATTACCATTTTCAAGGGACGTAATTCGCCTACATTGAAAGATCGTGCAATGCAAGAGATTGGATGACTTTTCCCTTAAAAACTACTTATTTTTTCAGAAATGGTTAAAAAAAAGATGTTAAATTACAGAACAAGATATCGTCAGTATTTCTGATTACAAGAGAACATTTGAATGTTAGATCAGTATATGTTTATAAAAAACACATTCCGTTATTGTAACCGTTAGATTAAGAAATAACATTTTATCATTGTATTATGAATCATGTAGTCTTTGATAATTAATTATTTACAAATCTATTTAATGGTAGAATGATCATTTTATTATGTTGCCTAATCTGTATAGATTTTTCGATGCATAATGTATTTATTTGAAAATAAGAATTTGGAAAAAAATATACATCATAATAAACCATAATAAATTTGTAATAGTTTTCCTTTTTATCTTCGTGACATTTGTAGCTATTCTGGGGTGATATGATAAACATTTTTTGGATTTATTTGAGTCGTCTTCTCGGCGCACGATAACCGATTTTATGTACACATTTGTGTGAGTTATGAGGCAAGAGCAGGAAAACTGCAAAATTCAAAAAGACCATTAAGTTACTAACATCTGACAGTTTTCATCAAATATACTTCCTTCATATTGCTACATCTGGTTCATAACATATTACGCAACATTACTTGCCCTATTTTAACATAATTTTCAAGAACCACTATAGCTATACGCTTTTTCCCGGCCTACAACCATTATGTTCGAAAAAGATTAGACTAATGCCGCTGTCCTGGCAAAGTTTTCCTCATTGAACACTGCAATCTTCATTATCCCATGAGGAGCAGAAAAAGAAAACTCCGTTGATTTCATTTAAACCAACTGAATGCCGCAGTAGGTGTTGCTGAACCCAATCTTTTACATCTGGAGTACATTTTCAAAATTTCACAATATTTTATACTTGTTGTAAATTCTGAAATCTGGAACAAGTTAAAAATGACGTCTAATAAAATGTTGCAATGACAGGTCTCTACAACTTTGACTTGAGTCTTACATAAAAAGATAATGAAATATGCAAATATCGGACAAAAAATATTGCTATATGACAAGAAATTTAACGTTAAACGTTGAAATTATTTATGTGAACAAAAGGGACAGATTAAAATTGGATTTTCCCAAGTTTTTACTTCCTTTTACCTCTTCAACATATTTTTCAATATATTCATCTAATACCACTATTATCACTGTTGAAGGGCAACAATCAACAATCAACAACCACCTCCACCCCAACAATTCTTCCATAGAAATCAAGCTAGAAATTTCACTTACTTCACTGGTTTGTCCCCTGCCCGAATACTGTAAGACGTATGTCTTGTCATGGTTTATAACAGCACAGACTTGATGCCTTGCAACTGGATCAATTCGATGGGAAATGCATATAGCCTCGAGCTAAATCACAACAAAAGGCATTATAACAAAAGTTCTTATTATAGATGCATTTATTAACTTCAACATTGCAGAGTCTTAAAAGAAGACGAGTCGTAAATGTAACAATCACTGTTCTGTACAATTTCTCAGATGGTACACTTCTTATCGCTGCCCACCATTTTTTTTTATTTGAGATGTGCTATGAAATTTGTTAAATATATGGCATGGTGAAAAACATTATTACAAAATTCATATTTTAATGTAGTGATAAATCATTGTTGTGAAATTTTCATCAAAAATTAAAAATCCAGCCTTTGTTAGAACAAAAATACGATGGTCCAGACAGGCAATTACAACATACGCTCTAAGCCAAATCAATACCTAAAAAAGAGAAGTCGCATATATATAATACGAAACGAGATTAACCTTCTACTTTTATGCTCCATAATATATACTTTTCAGTTGGCAAAGGGAAAAGTCTTTTTTAGGAGAAAGGCATAATCCAACTCATTCTTGATTTTTAATTGTACAACCATAATCTTAACATCTGCTAAACTTGACGTCTGTGGTTCATGCAATTTCACTGAAACTAAATGATGTTACTATCACAAAAGCTGCTAATATTATTTAAAGACCATTGCACCATGGGCATCATTAAGACTCATAGCTTTTGTGGAATTGAAAGAACCACAGAAATCTGACTGAAATTGTTTGGAATGACGTGAATTGATGCTCCATTGTTGCCAAATCCATAAAAAGTTTGGACACTTCTTTACATTCCTGTTTAGATATTTTAAGGCGACCAAGATAAAATTTAAAGAAATGGGGTTCTATATATTACATTTCTGCAGACTAGGCTACCAAAATTTAGAATTCTGAAGAAATACCTCATTCAAGAATAAATATAAGTGTATAAGTATATGTCGAGCAGCTATGACGTGTGTGACGCCAGGCACTCTTCTAGACACCAGATACCACTTTTCATTATGAAATACTTACTCATTTATGATTGATATACATCTCACTTGCAAAGATCATTAGCTGCTAACAATGTTTCGCCAAAATATCGTTTTGGATTTAGGCCCTTTTAGGAATTATAACAAGCCGAAGGTGTATGAAACTTGTCTGTTCCACATGGCCCACCATACTTATCTTCCGTGCGCTTTTAAAGGATTATTTATAGAGATTTTTGAACATTGTGTGACTCGAGGAGTCAGTCGACGGATGTGCTGAGCCTCGGTCTTCATTCAAAGGGCATTGAAAGGTAAGTTGTTCGAATTAACATTAATTGTTTGATAAAATTTAAATGAAGTACAACTGTTTTTACATTTTCACTGATACATCGACCGTCGCCATTTTTTGTGATTTTGAAACACGATGCCTCTTATTTAATAATAAGGGTGCGACTATGAGAGATTTGTGCGACTATGTGTTTCAGACAACGTAAAACGTCATATCTAAGTAATTGGAATTAATAAATTTGATTCAACTACACAAGAACCGCAAATAATAGATAACAAAACATCGTTATTATATCGATTAGAATAGACCCAAAATAACAACCAATTTCTATGACGCAAGAGGCTCTGTTTCCAGTGTACACTCATTTCACACAAATAGCTAAATGTATGTGAGCTAAAACGGTTGTGCTATCCACCAAAGCTGCTCGCGTTCTTCAGTTAAATATTACCACACATTTCTTCCTAACAACCACCCTTAGCTCCATACAATGATGACCGAGACGCATTTCTTTATTTGAAGGTGCGGAAAGTCAGAGGGAAGGTATTGCAAGAATGATACTTCTATCTTTGGTAAGTCTAACGGCTGCGTTGTTAATCAACGTTGATGCAGCATCTAAACCATTATCAATGGTAGATGTTTTCAACTATATGACCATTGCTGGCAATGGTGGTAATGGTATGATGAAGAATCTATTAAAGTATATGCCGAATTGGGGCATCAAAGACAACATGAATTTCGACCCAATCAACACCCTATTCCCAAAGACCGGAAAACACCACATGTTGTGTGAGGCAATCACTGAACCATGTTTCAGCTACGATCGATCATCTCCCATTGGTAAGTTACCACCAAAAATCTTCCATAATCCGTGAATACATGACGAAACGTACCGTAACAATATTCTTCGCAGACCAAACCACACAGAGTCGTACTAAGCTAAATATCATACTTATTATGGCATTCAGACACTAGCAAAATCTGGCTTGAACTGGAGTCCTGGACTATTAGTGCAGCTGGCGGATGATCTGATCAGACGACTAAAAATCCAAAAGATTTCGGTAATTTGATTAGATGTTTTGGTTCGCCAGACGGCTTAACCTCACCTTCATAAAATCTAAGTTTTTTGGTTTAACTAAAAAAAACGTAATGTAAATGTCAAGATGCCTTCAATTTAAGGGCAATGAAATCATGCATAATAGAGTGTACTTTTATATCAAGGGCGGTGACTCGTCATACCTTTTTGTGTATTTCAGGACCTTATTGTTGGGGTACAATAAATGGTCACAATACACATTGCTGTGATGCCAGTGGATCATTCCAGTCACCAATAAGTATCCCAAGACCTCAAAGAACTATGTACACACATAAGAGACTCCGTTATCTGAACTCAAGTATTACTGGCAAGGTCGAAAATATCGGTAAGCTATGGTCACTCATGTAGGATCATGGTAGAGGACTTCTAAGTTGTCACATTTGCAACGAGGCCACCAGTTTCCCTGCCTATCCCGAAAAAGTATGGTTTGGAACCCATTTCTAAGCTGATTGCTGTGATAAGTTTCGCACTTATCATGGCTTATACGCTGGTCCTTTTTAACCCCCAAAAGGCATTAGCAATCCATTTTACCGTGTTAAACCATCAATTATACAAGGCGGCATATTCTTGAAAATAACAAACCCGTTTTTTATCCAATGTTCACCATGGGGTAATGAAGAAAATTATTGATATCAAATGCCCGAATACAGTATTTTTAAATGCAAGAATGTGAGGTATGATATCCAAATCAAAGAGATTCGTCAGTTATGTTGACTATATAATGCCTTTATATGTCGGCACTCCCAAAACCGACTGAAGTTGACTAACCATTGAGTGGGAGATTCAGCATGCCACATTGCTCTCGACGTCTCACAATTTTGTTAATATGCGGTCTTTTAGGTGTTTATCCTGAATTCTTTTCAACTGGGGGTCATCCTGTGATGTTAGAGGGAGTACCTGGAACTGATGCTGGATACATCTTTGATAACGTTCATATCCATTCTGGGGTACGTGGTGCCTATCGCCAGACTGAAAATCTGCTTTATGGAAGATCGTTTCATGCAGAGGTAAGATATTATCATCCAAATAGTGTAGACAGTCATCAAGTAGCAATTTTTATATGATTTTCGGTTCCAAGGCTAAAACCTTATATTAACTTATATTAAGTTTTTAGTCTAAAACGGAGGTCCAGTTATATACAATTTTAAATTGAATTTTTATCTTGGACTAATGACGAAGGTCATTGACATGCAATTTAGGAAAAATTGCCGGAATAGCAACATCAGCTATCTCCATGTCGGCTCCACACATCTGTATCTCTTACGGGGAGAAACCATGATGAAAATTTTAAGGTATTTTCTTAATTATGTCAGGATTGAAGACAACGCATAATTATTCATATTGTGCAGATAAACGAGATGATTTCTTTTACTTATTTCAGGCGCACATTGTCCACCATCATTCAGATTTCGCAGATGTAGCTGATGCCAGTAAACATGTAGGCGGTATTGCTGTTGTCTCTATATTTCTTACCGTAAGTAGTCTCTTGCACGCAACTTAATTAATACTTTGCATTTTTGCTTGTTCCATTTTATAGTTACTTTTTCAGTTTTGCATTTGTATTGTTTTTATCATATTTCTTTGCTTTCTTTTTTTTTCTTTGTCTTGTTTAGATTTTAGTTCCCGCTCATTATTATATTCTATATCACCGCATGCATGATATCTTGGCACTTTTCACTCATACTTCGATCTAAAAACTTTTTTTAGAAAGCTATGTTCCCATTCAACACATGCTTCAACGGATGCTCCTTTCAGGAAAACCTTTGACATATTCGGTTTTATAGATGTGAAACATTGAATAACCATCTGCGCATAAATTCTGAATTTTGATTGTTATTTGATATTTTATAGAATGATAAACAAAGATATAATCCCACAACAAACAGGGCTCTGGATACAATTTTAAATCATCTAAAAGACTTGATAGAATTCACTGAAGAAGGTCAGATCAAATTTATTGTATAGTACACTATTCCACTCTACCAAGCTCTTATGCCAGATCTTGAAGTTGACGCAGCAGTGCTACTGTATGTTAGATCTATCACGTTTGGATTTGAATAGATCATGTTGATGATGCTTCTGTTAACTGGTCAGGGAATAGATCAAGTTGATGATGCTTCTCTTAAACCGTCATGGAATAGATCATGGTGATGATGCTTCTGTTAACCTGTCACAGAAACCATCGTGCTGATGATGATGCTTCGATTAACCTTTCACGGAATAGATCATGTTGATAATGCTTCTATTAATCTGTCACGGAATAGCTCATGTCAATAATTCTTATGTAAACCTGTCATGGAATAGATCATATTGATGATGTTTCTGTTTACCTGTCACGGAATAGATCATGTTGATGACCCCTCTGTTCACCTATCACGGAATAGATCATGATGATGATGCTTCTGCTAACCTGTCATATAGGTTATGGTGATAATGCTTCTGTTAACCTGTCACGGAAAAGATCATGGTGGTGATGCTTCGGTTAACCTTTCACGGAATAAATCATGTTGATAATGCTTCTATTAATCTGTCATGAAATAGACCAGTTTGTTGTTTCTGTACTATCCTTATTCATATTATAATAATAATTTCAATTGCAGAACATGTGTGTAGGGCCGAAAATCGAAGAATAAAACGAACTGGCATATATAGTAAACTGGGTGTAGAAAGAGCATGTCGTGAAAACAATCCGAATTACGACGCTGATTCACCTGATGGAGATCCTAGCAACAAATGTCAACTACACAAAAAGGCTCGCGGATGTGGTACGACTTTTCAAAAAATAAAATTTACGCCCTACTGTTCTTTCCTCAAAAAACAATGTTAATTAAAACTGATTTTTTGAATCTGAAATTCATGAACATTGTTAATGTTAGTCCGTAGCAAAGAGGCTTTCCGCGTCGTCATTATGGGCCTGTTATAGAGACAACACAGAAACAAGACATAATCAAGAAGCTCCTCGCTACTGAGCTATCCCCTAGATCGTGATCTAGAGATCTCATTTTATATCTGCAATACGTTTTGTAGCATTTGAAGATGCTATAGTACCTCATTTCTCCTAGTCAGATAATTGATGACATTCGTCAATTGGGGATATCTACTCAGCATCTTGTGAAGAGTCCAAATGACTATTGAGGCTTATTTATTACTTTGATATTACGTTTATGGTTTGTTTCAGGAGATCCCATCGAAAATGTTACGTTTAATCCAAATGATTTGCTATCATCCATACCAACATATTTAACGTTCGAGGGAGGATTAACTACACCACCTTGTTCAGAATCTGTCATCTGGATTGTTGCCGAACACCCAGCATATATATCTAATAAAAATGTAAGAAAAAAATTATTTTGTTAGAATTCCTTGCAACTGGCCGTAACTTCCATTAAATTTAGATGCCTTTACAGGCTAACTTGACAATAAATAGGGCTACGAGAATATTCCAGCTTAACCCAGATCGACGGGTTTTGGCAGTATTATGTCGTTTTAGTTATTCCATTAACGCCAATAAAAGGAGTTTCCTTGTTTAATGATGATGCATTCTGATGATCCAGGGTGTAACTATTTAGATTTCTTTCTGTCTATAGGTTTCAATGAGGTACTGTCAATACCTTGATGGAAATATTGCAACTGATTGAGACAACTGGAAATGGATCAAGCCTTAGGTATTTCAGACAACGAATAAAAGAAAAGCTCCATTCGGCTTCATTTCTTCCATGATATTAATTCAAAAATAACTAAATATAGCCTGTAAATCCGTTCGTACAGTGCTATGACTGATTTTTTTTCTTTCTTACAGATTGAATACATGAATAAATTAAAATCAAGAATAGTTAATCAGACAATATCTGATTTTGGTAATCTACGTCCTTTACATGATCCAGCTGAGAGGGATGTATTCAGGATCATTTACGGAAGGTATCCACCCCGTCGTGAAGAGGATGATGAAAGGGGAGATGGAAGACACGATCTCAGGGATGATGATGATAATTATGACGATGATGATTACTACAATGACGATTACTCTAATGATGATTACTATGATGACGATTACTATTATGACGATTATGATGATGATACCGACGACGACCATAAAGATGACGGAAGGAGAGATAGAGGTGGTGGGGATGACAAAGGAGGGCGGGGTAAGGGAGACGATCGAGGAGGAAGAGATAATGGAGACAATCGTACAGGAAGGGGAAATCGTAACGATCGAGGACGAAGAGGCAATGGAGACGATTCTGGAGGTAGGGGAAATGGGAACAACCGTGACGGAAGAGGCAATGGAGACAGTCGTGATAGGAATAATGGGAACGGAAATGGAAGGGAAAATGGGGGTGTGAGAGGCAATGGGAATGACCGAGATGGGAGGAGAGACAATGGTAACGGTGGAGATAATGGAACACGGAGAGGCAATGGAGACGACCGAGGAGGAAGAAGAAATGAAGACCGCGGCGAGAATCGAAGAGGAAAGGATGATCAGGAAAGAGAGAGTGAAGACGGTCGACGTAGGAGAAGACGTTTTAATGGCAGAAGACGAAGAAGAGGTAGAGGGGATGATAAAGGCGACGACAATTAATTTAATGAAAAGAATAAGCATTACATCGTAAATTTGACTGATATCCTTGGCAGCATTGATTTGTCGTGTAGTGCATATTTTTTCTGAAATAGTATAACCCACTATATTGTTAATGGGGTGGCTTAAGGGTTAATTAATTTTAATATTCTATTACTCATTTGATAAAACAACAATATAAACAATATTTTAACAGGGCAATTTCTTTGTATTTAATTAAAAAGAACAGTCCGTTGGGGTAGAATAAAAATAACAGATGAATTAGATGAGGTACGATGATGGGTGTGGTATACTAGCCCAAAGCGTCAGGGGGCAAGACCTCCCCCGAAAAAAGAATTGCCCCGCCCCCCTGAAAAAATTCTGACAACCGACCATTTCAATTACTGCAACTTAATAACACTACCCCTCATTGCCCCTCTGGATATATTTATTACTCGACCCTCCGAACAATCTGTCTGGTTACTGATCTGATGGTGTGCGGTACAGGATTGTTGATACATTAGAAAATCGTAGAAGCGAATCATGTCCGAACGATAACCCCGTGCCTCTTCTCTTGTATCGATAACCCCGCACTGTACACGGGGACACAGTACTTGATCTACTCGCACCTAGCGAGTCAAGCTAGTGACTGCCCAATTATATCTCATTACCACTGTCAGTGATGTAGGTCCGTGCATGGTAAATAGGTCATTTTATTTAGATAGTCCACAAACTGAACCCCCTCTGTGCTACAAAGAACAGAAATAAATGTTTTCGACTGTGCAAACTGCATGGTATTCCTGTCTTCGTGAGCTCATTTTAGGTTCTGAAAGGTAGGTTGTGTTTCATTTACATGTTTCATCTTCTCCCCTTCATTGTTGAAGATTGATCCTTGAGCAAGTGGTTTTCCCCTTGTAACATCTAAATTTATCTATGAACACTTTGTCAATTCCGACTAATTTCGATTATCAATGTTCTCAACACCCAAAAATAAATACATTCTGTAATCTTGATCTTTCTATTACTTAAGGGGAGATAATCACTCATAGCATATTATGGTATTTCATCACTACCTTGTTCATCAAAAGATTATTGCTCAGGCTTATAAGTAAGAGGAGAAGTGAGAGATGAAGGGGAATTCAACATTATCATTCACCTTTTTTCGATTTTCACATGTCGAGGGATCTTATCTTGTACAGTACGAAGCTCACGTGGCACATGGGAATGCCAGATATCATAAAACTAATCGTCATATAGGAGATAAAAGAGATGAAACAATAAATACATTGCGAAACAACTGTGAGAAAATGCTTCAAAAGTTTCAAAGAGTGATATTCTAAAGAAGACCAAAGATTTAGTCGGATTTAAATGGACAGGTTGGCCATTTTTGGGGGTTGATTTAAGTCTTATAATTTATGATGTAAATAGTCTTCAGAAGTACTAGAAATGGACGATAATATCATTCCTTTAAAAATACTTCACACTATCAATTTCACTCACTATTTCTACATCTTACAGAGTCGTCATTTTAACATTCAACTCAGATAATTCTGGACAGACATGGATTTGGAGGTTCAAATTTCGACAGTGAACTGTAGCACTATACCGATTAGCTCATCTAAAAATATTTCAGTTTCTGAAACTAAAGTATCACTGGTCAAAAATGGCCTACCTGTCCCTTTTAAAAATATAGTAAGAAAATGAAATTTTTTAAAATGTGTCACTTTAACTGTAAAAAATCATTTATTGGATTGGAATTTTTATTATTATTTGATAGTTAAAGGAAGGGACAAAACTCACAAAGGAAAACAAAGGTAACTCAGATCATAAGAAGTAAGATATTCTCTAGAGATATGACAATCTTTGTACTGCTTTAATTAGTCTCCACAGTACGATGTTTTCATTTACTGAGTGCAGAACACTTTCTTTGTTCTTAGCACGACCAACCACAGGAAACTGTGTGAAAAGTTACATATTATTCGAATGTTGTCTCTTGAAAATTCAACTTGGCTAGCCGAGTGCAAACATTTTATGAACTTTCGGCAAATCTTGTAAAACAATACAACTACAATCGGGGGTTATCTTTGATGTACCGGAAGTTACGTGTTAACATCTTGTTGTGACACATGTTGAGGTCCTTGTTCAGTATTTGGTTTGTCACAAGACTGTAATTGCTGTCCAATGAATCATCAAATGTATGTTCTGTGCGACATGTACTTCATAGAACTTTGGCATTTGACCTGCCAGAAAATATCACATCAGCATTTTGAAGTAAGTTAACATCTCATGGCAACAGATATCACTTTTACAATGTGCACTCAGTTCTCAGCACATTGACCGCATCATTCTAATTTCCCTTAATGCAAACTGATCTGTATTCCCATTGATTACTGTGATCAATTACAATGCAAATTGATTTATATTCCCATTGATTACTTTGATCGATTACAAACCAAACTGATCTGTATTCTCATTGATTACTTTGAACGACTACAATACAAACTGATCCGTATACCCATTGATTACTTTGATCGATTACAAACCAAACTGATCTGTATTCCCATTGATTACTTTGATCAATTACAAACCAAACTGATCTGTATTCCCATTGATTACTTTGATCAACTTCAGTACAAACTGGTCTGTATTTTCATTTATTACTTTGATCAACTTCAGTACAAACTGATCTGTATTCCCATTGATTACTTTGATCAATTACAAACCAAACTGATCTGTATTCCCATTGATTACTTTGATCAATTACAAACTAAACTAATCTGTGTGTATACCCATGGATTACTTTGAACGACTACAATACAAACTGATCCGTATACCCATTTATTACTTTGATCAATTACAATGCAAATTGATTTATATTCCCATTGATTACTTTGATCGACTACAAACCAAACTGATCTGTAATCCCATTGATTATTGTGATCGATTACAAACCAAACTGATCTGTATTCCCATTAATTACTTTGACCGATTACAAACCAAACTGATCTGTATATCCATTGATTATTGTGATCGATTACTAACCAAACTAATCTGTATTCCCATTGATTATTGTGATCGATTACAAACCAAACTGATCTGTATTCCAATTGATTACTTTGACCGATTACAAACCAAACTGATCTGTATACCCATTGATTACTTTGATCAACTTCAGTACAAACTGATCTGTATTTTCATTTATTACTTTGATCGACTACAATACAAATTGATTACCCATTGATTACTTTTAACGACTACCTCTGTTACGTACCGTATGTGTCCAAATCAGAAAAACAGTACTATAGATGGCCCATTAGCAGGTAACATTTGATAAACGCCCCCCCCCCCCCACCACCCCAATATTCTAATGCAAGTAATTTTCCCATGACATGATTGTAAAGTTACCTTCATGCATAATATTGAGAAAAGAAATTAATAGCATAATATTAGGTCTTTGAACTAGCAACAGTTTTTTTAAGTATCGTTTCCTCCCTGGAATATATGGAAGGAAATGAGCGATTGAAATGTTGTAAAAAATACTCAATGACTGTAAAATGATCAATTAATATAATATTAATTACACAATTAAGATGTAAGCTCAAATGATTGCCTTTTATAGAATCAAATCGAAAGCCAATTATTTTCAATTGCACTGCATTGCTATATAATTATTCTATCGAGAAATGAATTTCCACATATTTTGGGTATTTATGCTAGTATGCGTTTTCCTCTGCAGGTACCGAGCCAATTTTAAATTTGTTCCGTAGGAATAGATTTTTCATGGAAATTTCGTAAAAAGTATATCACCAGGCTGGGTATTAACTGCAGCGGGGGTTTGATATTTTGTGAGTAATAAATACATGACTTCATGTACAATCCATTTTATTTCAATGCACTGTTCTTTTGAATGGGATAATAATCCAAGGCTATGTGTGTTGCAGACTGGTGGATAAAGACATCTGGCTATAGCTGGGGATCAAACAATTCCGCTGCCATGGCAAAAATTTTCCTCAGTGCACACTGCATTGTGTGTAATGCCCATTTTTGTAACCCAAATCTTTAAACCTCATTTCGTTACAATGGAAAATCATAAAAACACTAACACAGGCGATATATTTAAGAAAGGTTTATTTCTAAAATAAATAATATAGCAACTGACAGAGAGTTGTAGTCGTTTTTATACTTATATTTACATAATCATATTTACATTTTAACTTATTTGCATTAATTCTGCATAAAATGTGCATTTTGTCATTATTTGTCAACAACATGATATGTTTGTTTACTATTTATGGTGATCAACAAAAGTCACTAGGTAAACAATCGTTTTGAAAATAATAAATAAGGGAAAGCAATTTACATCTTATAAATAATTAAGCAATGGATGTCCAACCAAGACGCCTCTTCTTGATCCTAGACGGTATTTCAGTAATCCAGTCATCTGATTAGTCAATCAGATAAATCCATTTTGAATTTCGATTTTTAACCAATCAAATTCCTGTTTCTCCTAAAATCCAGATTGGCCTTAAACTTAGATAAATGAAGAAATATCTTCCAGAATGCAATTGTGTAGGTGCATTCTTTATCCTCTTCTGAATTTGCTGCGAAAATATACGAAATTAATATCAAATTCAGTTTTACAGCGAGTGATTTCTAGTTTTTGAAAAACCATGTCGTGTATTAATATAAATTTTTGAATGATATTTTTAGAATACATTTATCAACCCTGCATATAACAATTCGGAACTTAATCCTTGCGCAATCCAAACCCTTTGACATATTTGATTGGTGGCCATGATATGTCAGTTCGAGGGTATGGTCTTAAACTCGAACACCCTTGATCATGAGGGTGAAGACAGTGAGGGATCAACAGCAGAGTGATAGTAGGTGACTTAATCTTAGAAAACATAACACTATAACATAACACGACTTCATTATAGTTTCACATATCAATCAAACGTCAGCTAAGTCTTCAGTTATGTGATATATGTTTAATCATGGCTATGTAACATTTAGCACATCATTTTGTCAGATTATTCATAACAAAACTAATTTTCATTCATAATCGTTTTGGTTAGTGATAATTTTAATTATGCTAGTCCGTGAGACCCAAATTGAATATGGACATTTTCGTCTAGACATCCACAATCAATATCTGAAGGATAACTTTGACAAAGTAGTTGTCTGCACGAGTCTGTACTTGAAGACATGTCTGGATGCTTGGGAAATATGATATTTATGACAATGTGTATCAAATTAGTAGAGTTGATATAGAAAGTCAAGATTTTGCACGTTTATAATCCATCGACAGTTGGAAAGTGTAGGCTAATGACGTTTTCCTGATAAACATTCCCGCATCAGACTTGGGTCACATGTCTTTATGAACCCAATCAAGAGCATCAAACCATCTTTAAGTGGTGTTTTGTCTTTATAGTACACATACCGAAGTGCAAAATGTAATGAAAAATGAAGCCTCAGTATTATCTATCCGGCCTTTTAGCATATCCAATGCTTGGTATTCTTCTATTATATTGGTTGCATCCCAAGTCTTTGTCAAATAAATAAAAAGAAAATTACTATTTGGATGTTATGCTAACATTTGTAAAAGAAGAAAATTTTGTTATAAATATATATTGGTTATGATTACCATGATTTCAAAGGAAACTGAGATTCATCAATGAAGCGACGGGAACATTTAATCAACATTTTTGATAAAATGTTACCAAACCAACATTTCTCTTATTGTCAAACCAACACATTTTCATCTACCCGTTTCAAACTAACATTTCTGTTGTTTGAATACAACACTATTTCAACGTTTCAATGTTGCACTATACTAATCTAACATTTCGGTTAGCTCGGTGGCATTCCAACACTTCTTATATTTTTATCTGGAAGCTGCGTTTCGCTAAGTTCATTCGATTCTGGTCGTAAGAGCACTTTTTTCTTCGTACATATTCTCCGTTGAGTCTGGCATTCACTGAATTCATTGGAAGTCCAAGTCTGTTACAATCTTGAACCTATTGCGTTCCCACACATCGTGACAGCATTCCAGAAGCAATAGCCATACTCTTAACACTCTGTAGGTGCTCACTAAGCCTTTCCCGTGGTTGCTCTTTGTTTTAGTTTTAAGTCATAAAGGAAAGAGAATAATGTCTTACAGTTGAGTGACTCGCGTAGTTCTTTCGGCAGTGTTCGTGGGACTGTCATTGAAACCAACATGAATTCCAGAATCAAAAGATCCCCGTTCGTTGAAGGAAGATTTCTTGGAGAGGAGAGTTTGTATTTTCGATTTCGCTTTACTGCGATTGAAGGTACCACAAGGGTCAGAATCGTCGTAGAAGGAAGCACTATGAGTTTCTTGTAAAGATAGACTGGATGGAGAAGGGTATTTTTGGGGAATGTCAGTTTCAGGGATACACATAGATACATCTGACTCTGTCCAATCATTGCTTTCCATATCACCAGAGCTGGCCATGGAATTTTTACTCCAAGCATATCGTCGTCGCCATTTTAATTCCTCAATTTCTTCATTCAACGTTAATAATTGTTTCATCAGCGATAAATCTTGGTCCATCAAGGAAGCCTGAAAGAAAGAAAGGAAGATTTTAAGGCATTGTATCAAAATTATGGTTGGGAGAAAAAAAAAATGAAAATGCCATACATTTCTGCACGTTGAGAGACATGTAAAACATTCGGTTTCATTTTAATTGATACTACGCGCTATTGATGGGTACATGTTTCAAAAATACGATTGTATTCTCTTGAATATGATTTCATACTCAAACAAATGAATAAGAGTGCTTCAAATCTGCCCTAATGATTTGCTCTGAATTTGATATACATGATATTTGGTGGCAACTGAAGATTTTCAATGTGCATCAGCCTCTTTCATCTGTCAACGAAAGTCAAAAGGTTGAAAGAAAGGTTAACGATGAAGATTTGTTTGCACATGTGCTGTTTGAAGATAGTGAGAGATTGAAATAACTTGACAGTACAATCTCACAAATTCATGTTAAAGAGATTCTGCGCTAAAATGATTTCAAGATTAGGAAAATTTAAAAAAGTTATGTGCAAAAATGAAGTTAGCCCAAAAAATGCGTTTGAGTTGAATATTTGTACAGATGTGTTAAGATTGTGTTAATTCTTGTGTCAAAGGCTCTACCGATTTTATTATTTTGTGATATTGTGATAGTGCAACGGGGTAGCGCAGGGTTGCGTCATTGGGAGTTGTTTGTTAGCAAGAAACATGAATGTTATGTTTATCATATGATCATGTTTAATGCGTGTAGTGTTCTTTACGATTCGGCTATAAGTCAAATCTTCTGTGCAAAAACAGCAACAGGCTTCACTTGGATTGTCTAACTGCTTTAAATATTTAAGACATGCTCTAAATCTGAAACTCCCAGAAATTCGATGAACGTAAATGTGATTTTTACTCTATTTAGTAACGGGGTACAGCAGGGTGACGTTATAAAACCTTTCTTATTTAGTATAATCACACGTGACACATAATTTGATTTGTCAGAAGATAACCTACAAATTCATTGTAAGAACATCCAAAATTAGGACAGCACAGTGGAATACGTCGGTTTTGTAATCTTGTATGATAAAATGACATCTCAAATGACACGTTTGTTCACCGATATACCATGATATTGTGGGACATAATTAGCGATATATAGGTCGAGATATGTAATAACACCATGTCTCGCATAGATAACCTTAATATCCACATGGACCAATTCTGATAACATTTGAACCACGTCTTTAAAACAATTTTTGTAGACCTAACAAATTAAATAAATGGTAAAAATTCTCTCTTTTACGTTTTTGCTGAAGCAAAATTTTATTTTGTACCATTCTTCAGCAAGCAGATCTGACTTCCGGTTCCTTTACAATTTAACGAGTGAAACTGACGATAGTCAAAGATTCTGAAAGGGTATATAAGTAGCAGGATAACCCTAAATTAACAAAAAATGATCCGAGTGCGTCGGTATTATCAATTCCTGTATCTTTAATTGCGAGAAAAAAAAATAGCCAATCCTCAGTTCTCATGGCTATACAATAAATAAACAACTGAACGCCGTAATACTTAATTTCTTCAGTTGATATACATTCAGAAACGACAAAAGAATCATTTTCGTTATAACATGGCCCATGATTGGTCTTTTGTTATTTTTCCATTAATATTTGTTATGATAGAAAAGTGGCATGAAAATACAGGTGATTGTTGTAGAACAGTAAAGAAAACACGGAAATTATGTATGTTATTTATTGTTGCCCGGCTTCAACTTAGGTGGATCATATTCTTTTTGATTCAATAGATACCACCGATCCAGGTAACTTACTGAAGTGTCACTCAGTGCTGATTGAAAAAAAAACTACACAAAAGTGCTTAAATTCTATAAAGGATCATTGTTATTAAATATATATAATATAATATAATTTACTTGTTTTCAAAAATCGTTAAGTTTTTAGACTTTTTCAAAGATATTTCAAAATTAGAATAATTCATCCCGATACTCTCACTATAACGACAAAGTGAATCGGAGATCTTTAAAAGGCAAACACAACAATCATAATGCTACATGTGGTATAATTGGCTTATTTTATCCACATCGTATCGCAATAAAGTGACAAAATATGATAATTTACCACCAGGGGTCGTTTTTTTAGATCCCCTATCAAATGTCAAACGGAATTTTGTTGACTTTTACCTTACAAAAACACGGAAACAGATAGTTTGGGATGTCTCTTATTAAAATATAAAAAATCTTGTTATATTTTATGGGTATGGAAATGGGTTTTGGGTTTTTCACGTAGATTACGCAAAAAGGCATTCGAAGTAAAGGAATGCATGACGAACTGGTGCCCCAGCATTGCACGATTCCGACCACCCTGTAGAAAGATATATTAAGAATTTTATAGTTTTTTTGAAAAAATAATTTCAAGCAAAGTGGCAAAGGAATGATGGAAATGATTAGTTTCCAAGACCAACAATCAGAATGAAACGATGTAATAACGGAAGATCTGTAAGTTGACAGTTATATTGGACGGTTCAGGGTCGGTACAGAAAATCAGCTATCATGTTCTAAACTTCTCAATAAGTTACGTTCACCAAGACCAAAGCTATGGAGGTGTTTTTGCAGGTATCTGTGTTTGACTTAATGTAAACAAAATGAACTTTGAACTTCAAATTTCAAAGAAGACCAAGGCATGGACGAACATGTTTCAAAGCCACTTGTGAGAGAGAAACTTTCCTCAGATATTTGAGTCGTGACCCCATTTAACCTTTTTACTACATTCCGGTCTTGACCACCCGGGTGAATATGGACCCCTAACTTAGATTTATGATGCTAGTGACAAATTTAGTAGCTATGGTCAATTATACATGCCAACACCCACTTGTTAGGTTGTAGATAAAGTCGAGAGGTTCAAGTTATTGAAGTTAGTGGTAATTGAAAACAATTCACTTTATTATAGTGGAAGTATTACATTAAAGTCATAACGGCAGTTTTTTGTGCTTTGTACAAGAACGTCATACAGGTCAAAGGTCAAAACTGGAAATCAAGCTCGATTTAGAACACTCTTGCACATAATAACACAAATATAATTGTTTTTCAGAAGTTCGGTCCAGTTTTAGAAGGTATTATTAAGCCATTATATCCCCGATTCTGTACTAAGGAAAAAAAAAGTTGTCGCTAAGTGTAAGTGAGGTTTAATGACAAAATTCTTAAAGTTGTTAAAAGTTGTAATATACCAAAACAACATTCTTTTACTCCTTAAAAACCATATCAAGTGATAATGAATGCACTATGATATTTTTTATCTACGTAATAACCAAAAAGGGTTAACTGCTGGTGGCAATTTAAAAAAAAAACATTCCTATCAATCCCCGCTTTTTACGTTCTCTCTCTTTCTCTGACTCATGAGTCATCGACATTGTTTTAATATTTTATGTTCATTAAACGATGTTGTCAAACATAACTGTTATTTTATGGTACCCTTTGGCTTTTTTGTCAAATAATTTCCTGTATGAGTTAGATTTTTATTATTCAGTATCTGTAACATGTTTGGTTTGTAAAATATGAAAAATTGTTCGATCCTAATTCATTTTCATTCTTGTATCATTTCGTCCATGAATTAGAAACAGCATAAAAGGAAATATTATTCTTTGATTTTAGCAAAATGTATTCTTTAGTTCATTCATTCTTATGTCCAAAAGTTCTCTTTACTTTCTGAAAAGGCACAAAAATGCCTTCCAGAATGAATGAAAGTTGACATTCTGTAGATACACCCCAACATTATATCATGACAAGAGATTGATATCGTCTTAACCTCGTAAAATCCAACACCATCCAGCCGATAACAGACTTGTCACGCTAATTTACTTGCAAGGAGAAAAACTTGCTCTTGAGTTGATGGATCACTTTATAATTGGTTTTATCATCTTTTACAGTCATCTTACTTTAGCAGATAGCAGAAGACTGTAAGTGCTGAGGTAAGAATCAACAAATGAATAAAATCGTTGCCGTTTATCTGGTGAATAAGACAAACTGGAAGATACTACAAATGTTCACAGCTTTGATCTTATATTAAATATTTCCAGATAAAATTGTATAACATCATGATATGCAGCATCTGGCTTGTATGTTAGAGTAACGACCCAAAGGTTCAATTAAAGAGCTGTATTGCACACGTTCATAAACGAATAGTGTGTTATTGTCGACACCTTATTAAAAGGAAAATCAAGGGAAAGACTTAATAAAATATACTTAAATACATACAAGTACAATCTGTGCATTATAAATAAAGAGATATTAATAATGCAAATTTATGAATAATAATCTAAGGCAATATATTCTGACCTAGGGTGAAAAAGGACAAGCAAATAATAAAAATGGTAACCTTAAAGAAAGGTTTATGGTCAACTTGGTGCTCTTTTTTCAACGAGGGTTAAAGGTCACATTGATCCGACACTTTTCAGAGAAAGGTTGTAGTGATCTATTTTGTGCCATTAATTTAACAACAGGCCTTCCAGCTCCATTATCCAGAAACAGCTTTTCAAATACTAGCAGCTATTGCTAGCTCCCATTGAATCAAGCTTGCTAGATGTTCACGTTAACCTCTTACGTTGCAGTGGATGATCGTGTAGGTGAAACAGGGGTGAAGGTTAAGAAACACCTCATGCCAATTCTAGATCACTTCTGTAAAAATTGTAGACGAGTTGCAATGGAACTTTCTTGTTGATAAATTCGTCTAATATTTCGAGCAAATACGACATCTAAACCAGTACAATACTTGCTTACATGTAAACAAAACAAATGACCTTTATCTTAACTTGGGCTAAAGCAGAAGAAACCAAAATTGGCAAAATTTAGTAGCCTGCCTTAATGACAATAATATTTTAATAGTAAAATGATCCTAATTGGCTTGACATTTCAATTTGAATATGACACATGCACGTATATTAGGTTGTCATGAAGCCATGGACATGGACACCAATATAACTTATAATTTCACCATTTCGCTTTCTTGTAATTGCAAAAAAAAACCCTTGATACGTATTCTCGAAACGATCGTTTTGCGCTAGAAAATCCTAGAAACAGATAGGACCCTAGGACATCCTTGTGCTAAGAATACAGTGCCGTGACCTTAGCTACATTACAAATGTCATCCACACAAAAAGCGGGCATCATTGTAATTGTTCGATCAAAATGGAATTCTAATGCCGGGCAGAATTTTCCTGGTGACACACAGCATGGCGTTGACATTTTATTCAGTCAATTTTCGTGTAGTGGATGAGATAAAATTCCATTTCTTTTCATTTCGATATTTCGTCATTTTTGAGTCATAATACTTGCTTAACTTGGCTATGCCGAGCTTCAATAGTGGAAATAGGTGTTATCAATATAATATAAATTATAGGAACATCTAGCTTTAAACAGCAATAAACAAGAGAGATATGGAAAGTGTCTTATTATCATGTTAAAGTGACATGTCTTAATTATACCCCCCAATAATCGATACAAACATTAAGGTCAGAAAGTTCACACGTTCTCCTATTTTATTGTCCACTGTTTGTCCCTTATTAATTTTGTCCCTTTAATGGCAAAGTATAACAACAGAATGAACGACAACTGGTAATTGAATACTTAATGTAATTAAGTCCTTTAATCGTGCATTGATACCACAAGATCGACAATTAAAGGGTCAGTGCAATTTTTCCTATGTCCATTATTACCCTTAATATCAAACCATCGAAGATGTGTATTGTGCATTTTGGCTCATTTAAAAAAAAAAAACAACAACTATCCTCTTCTGGATAAATTGTGTTAAACTTTTTCTCAATCAGTAGTCCGCACACTATTAAACTATGAGCTTTTCTGTGGCATTTGGTATTTGCAAATTAGAAAACAACTCAAAAATCCCAAACGCAGGATGCATTTATCTGTCCAATATATACTTAGTGATCTTTTCGTTTCCATGTTTTATAACAGTAATGTTCTACACATTGGGCATATAACCGCCCTCGCGCTTCCTACATATATTAAGGCTGTTCAAGGCAGTTTTCACCAACCATCAACAAACGAAATTTAATAAGAGTACTGAAGCACTAAGGCTTAAAAGACACATAATAATTTTACCACTTAACCAAGCATAAAGACACATAATGGAAATTTAACATTAAAAGTTTAATAGATGTCTTAATAGTGAAATGATAATTGAACAATGCGTATCAAAGACTATCGGTACTAAAATCTCGTTTAAATTTAATTAATATATCACGCCCGGTTACATATTAAGCCCCCGGGGTTCTCGTGTTATGATATAAGAGTAATATCGGATGTCGTATTATTTTGGTCACATAACATCGACTTAAAATTTAATTAATAACTAAATATAGATGTTATCAACTTGACATATAAATTAAGCCAAGATTAAGAGATATTTAAAGGTCAATTGTTAAGCTAGATTTAATTTAGTTGGGTTAATTCTAAAACGCTTTGTAGGTAATCCAAAGTATCACATTAATATGGTAGAAGTAGCGAATAGTACATTACGGCTTTATTTTGGATCATATCAAGAGCTATTTCAGGATTTCCCCGAGATAAAACATTAGATGTTTCAAGTTCAGTGATACCCCAAATAAGCAAAACCGCCAGTGACACAATCTTAACCAGCGTAGTGAAACGTCATGTTCAAGAGATGTTGAAATTTGAATGAGGCGAGAATAGGTACTTAATCATTACCCTGAAATCGATCGTATTAACCCTTACCTTGCCATTTATATAAACACTTAACACTGGTCAAATTATTATGACATAACATGGTACATGATGGGTTAATACCAATGGATTGGGTCATAGAAAACTATTTGGTACGCAAAGTAACACTATTGACAGTTACGACATGTAATAACATAGAATTACGCATACTTATTAATTTTGGTCCGTTTCACAAATGGGTCTCGAGTACATTTGCATACACCGTTGTACGTTACTTATGTAATGAACTATGAACGATGACAAAAGGGTCGGCACGTGTAAAGTTTGCAGTAACTCATGTTTAAAAGCACTACCAAAAATACTAAGGGTCGTAGATTACGAACATGAGCAACAGCGATTTTTCAGTCGTCAGTGATTGACCAGATTCTATCAATTTTCTATTGAAAATCCAGTTGTTCCTAGATTCTGTCAGTAGCGATGTGAACCCCCTTCCCACTTTTGGATAAGGTCTACAAATTGTATACGTAAGATATATAGGAAAATGAAACGAAAAAAATTCTAAATGTAAACTTCAAGGCGTTAATCGTTTTCATGCAAATAATTCAGTGAAGTAAAGACTAATATGAAAAACATGCACAAAAAATGAAGGAATGTCAAGCCACCAACGAACAATGTTTCATTCACAAACATGTACTAAGAATCTGACAACAAAGGCAAACATAAATCTTTCAACCTACGATTTTCTTTCCAAGTGTTAATTGATTAACATTCAGAGAATGCATAAATACAGAAAATACATATCACGATAAGAGCATTGGGTGTAAACAAAAATACCAAGTCAGCTAAATCATAGCGCATATTGGAGTTGGGCGATATTACGATATTATTGAAAAAAGCAGTATGAGCAATACGATACGATGTGGCATTTTTCCATACCAGTGTACCGTTGCGATGATATCGTGACGATATTTCGCAATATGAGACTTAAAAAAGACAATATCATGAGATTTTAGCACAGCGTCTGAATTCTATCTTATACAGTGTTAACAAAAATGCGAAGTAATAATGCAGATAGCTATGACTGTTGGCAATCCGACATTCAAAACAGAAATAAGTCTCTTAATTCCTAATCAATGTTGGAAAATATTCCCCACTAGCTAGGGATTCCAGGATTTGATTTGAGTATAATTGCATATCCGACCTGTGGATTTTATCACAATAGTTTTGCTTATCAGTGATGCAAGTCGAAAGGGCTGAATAAATGAGTAAAAAGTAAAGGGTGGGCCCAAAACGTAAACAACTTATACAAATATGGTCAAACTTGAATAACGCAAACGTCAAAACATAAAATCTAATAATTTATCCATTTAAGCTTTCCATAATTATATGTGAAACTTTCACTCGTTTATTCAAACGACGTGAAGGTCATAAATAAGTAATGATCTGTCGCGTAGAGTCCTCCAGAACAAAGGGTGAATTCTTTTAAATCGTTCAGTGGTCAGGTCTCAATATGTCCACTTTATGGTCATAAAATCCTATATTATTATCCCACGCGTGGTCGATGCAAATTTTAAAGCTTTTAGGGTCATATGGGGAGACATTTAATTAGCCCTTATGATAAATTGACAAAGAAATAGAAATAAACAACTTCCCAGAAAACATGCCTTCAATATATCGTCGATTTTTCTCTGCTGAGGCGTGAAATTAGCTTTTGGTAGACATCGATTTTACTTCCGTGTACAATTTCTAGTAAAAACCCTCTTATGTATGTCTATTCAATTTTACTTAATGAGCAAGGGAACACTAGAAATAGGAATAATCGTCACGAAAAATGACGAAGTGAAAAAGGAAGAAGTAATATAAATAAAAAATCCGTAGATTTCATGACGATCTGATTTCTTAACAATAAAAGTCACAATTTATGCAGGAAATAAATACACGTTTGAAAAAACCCTCTTCCTGAATTAATCAGGGAAAACTTCAGAGAAATTTCACTTCCCAATAGCATGAACGTACAAATTAGCTTCCGTCTAATACGCCAAAGAAACATAGTACAATCACATTTTTCATAAAACTTGGAATTCCTGCTTTCATCCTTGACAGTTGGTCCATAGTGTTTAGATTCCCTAGCAGAAACTAGTATCACATCATTATTACCATTAAAATGGCAGCTTTTCAAAAGTATCATGTGCCACGGTAACATCTGGAAAACCCAAGATCAGAGTGGCAGCAGGTTTCATTTTGCGGTTACACCCATGTCAAGCACTCGTAAGTACCGTACCACCAATCTGTATCAGATATACTATTAATAATCAGATAAGATATATATTGGTGTAAGTACTAATATTGGTACATACTAATAAAAGGTTAACCACGATGGAAATGATAACATTTACACTTATTCAATGTGTTGTGGGATTAAAGGCTTCGTTTCTTGAAATGTATTAAATAAGCTGTTGTGCGTCATATTTCCAAGCAACGCACTGGGCAAAAATCATAATTGACAATGACATAAAATTTGACAGACCGAAATCTTTCCCATACCTAGCCTATTTAACAACGGGAAAGATATAATTTGGTAGAAAGCACACAAAATCTATCATCAAGACTTCTTTTGGGGGGGATTTCTAATGACCTATTAAAATTATTAAAGTTTTGATATACGCTATTTCTGAAGGGAATACAAAATAGAAATATAGGAATGTCTACCTTTAAACCACAAAATGAAGAATAAGTACCAGACAAACTACCTTGTAAAATTCCGCAAATATAACATTCACCACTGACCAATACTACAGGGGATTGAGAATGTAAATGCTATTTGTAAGCGATACAGTGGAATTTCAGGTATGGTAATGAAGATTCTGTCAGATGGTTTGTGGAATCTGGTCTTCCAGGAATATAAATGACAGAACTCTTGGAATAATAAATAACCAAATGTTTTATGTGTTCATGTAGATACGCCTTCTGCACGATGTTCAAATGGTCTCTTCTTAAATGAAAATTGAGAGTGAAAATTGCTTGATCTGTATTGTGTACATCATGAAGCCAATATTTGGCTTCAACCAACTGCAAGCTCACTGCAGTATAATGTCTGGTTGAGTGGATTCATATGAAAGGAGATGAAATCGTGTTAGCTGTGTACGATTATGCGAAGCGAAAGTTGACATGCAGTGTTTTGGAAGATTAAGATTACCGATATGGTGGCATAAGCAATAAGTCTTTTTCGTTTTCAAACTGTCAAAGGATCGATCCTTAACGTGCACAATTTATATTGTGGCACAAAGGGACTAAGGTCTATTAGTAATTTGTGTTCTGCGTCGTTCAATTGCAAATTCAATTTCATATTTAACAAAGCCCATCTGTCAAATCTGTGTTAAAATTTTAACCGACTGTTTTGATCGTAAGTCTAGCCATAGCCTCGAAGGTCCATTTACTTTAAGATTAAACTTTAAGAAATCTTGTTAAAAACCTGAATACAAACAATGAAACCCTTAATCGAAACCAAACAACCATGAAAAGATGTAGTGAAAAAACACATAGAT